ATCTATCTATCTATCTATCTATCTATCTATCTATCTATCTATCTATCCATCTATCCAAAAGCTATTAAGAAGTAGCATGGCATGTGGATAGAGAGCCAATGTCTGGGACAACAAGACCTAGGTTCAAAGTCTTCCCTCTGACACATACTCTGTGTGTCACCTTGGGCAAGTTACTTAGCCTCTCAGCTTACCCCAGGCCATCCTCTGAGACTATCAATTGCATAAGATGTGCTGGTATGCTACGGTAGAGGGCATTTCCTCACTAGGGAATTCCTTATACCAGTGAAAGCACAGGTCCCATCCAGATACAGTTGCCACAATGAGGAGAACAATAGAGCACAGAAACATCAGTCAGCCAACGCTTGATCTCCTTGCCAAAATGGAGAGAGAAGGAAGTCAAGCACCACACCCATTTAGAGTACAAAATCATTTGTCTGACTCTGAGGATGGCAGAACAGTATGAGCAGTATTACCTTAAAAAGCAACACAAAGTAGTGAAGGAAAATATAACTCTGTAGAAAGCTTGACCTGAAACCCAACCAGTTCTCATAATCCCTAGCACATTCAAATATGAAATTATGTGATCATAATTATAATTGTGATTATAATTAGAGCTAGTGCTTATGTAGAGCTTTGAAACTTGCAAAGTGCTTTACATGTTATCTCATTTGATCCTCACAATCACCCTGTAAGGTAGGTGCTATTATCATTCCTATTTTACAGATGGGGAAACTGAGGAGATAGGTAAGATGACTATAGAAAAGGTAATAAAGATGTCAACTTGTTGAATGATCAATGACTTTTAATCATCATTGGCAAAAACTACCATATTTGAATTCCAAGGTGACAGTAAGAAGTACAAATTGCACTTATAGAGACATATTCAGGAACAAAAAATAACCAGCCTGACAAAATCACATACCCAGTAAGGAAATACACATTGGAGATGACAGGTTCTTGAAATCGTTGGGTGATCATTTTATAAGACATAACAGAGGGGGAGTCATACAAACAGAATAGCAATGACTGCTTATTCAGGGTGATAATAATATCCCAAAGCAAGTAATCAGGAGAACAGAATAACTACAGTCCTATGCTCATACTTTTCTCTCATCCTCTTAAATTCTTTACGAAAATGATCCACCTAAAAATGGAGGACTTGAAAAGAAAACATGCTGGTTTTCATAAATTAATCTCTTCAGCAGGCAGCTAAACAGGATCAGTCAATCAGTCAATAAATATTTATTAAATATATCCTTCTGGGGGATGGACAGATGAGAACAATTTGTTCTAACTGCCATGAAGGCAGCTGAAGCAGGTGTGTGGAGAACTTGGTTGGACATCAAAAACATATGGTCATCTATTGCATCCTGGGTCATTGCTAGTTGTTTTGACTTTTGAGACATCACCCATCATTGGTCCTCTTTGAAAAAGAAGTATGAACAACATTAAGCACCTACTATGTGCTAGGCAGTGTGCAAAGCAATGGGAATACAAAGAAAAACAAAAGATAGCCTCTGCTTTCAAAAAGTTCACATTCTAAAGGAGGGGCAGGAAATAACCTTTGTCAGTCAGTCAATAAACATTGTTAGTCAATAAGCATTTATTAAATGCATACTATGTGTAAGACACTGTTCTTAGTAAAAAGAAAAGCAA